CCCAAACCATTCTATTATTCTATGAAGATCATCATCTCAGAAACAATTAGACCCTGGTTGTGGCAAAGGGAAATGCTGACGGCATCCAGTCCTGGTGACCATCCCAAGACATTCTCATATCTCAGTGAAGAACTCTGGATAGTAGTCAAGTAAAGACAACCCAAGGTTTTTCCCTCCCTCTGTGCTCCATTCTGCTTCTGCAGTAGTGAACGCTTCTGACAAGATTTGGGTAAATTGTAGCTGCAGTATGGCATGCATATGAGTCACAGGAGCAAAATAATGGAGGTCTCACCAGGTTTTAACATAAGAGTGGATCTAATGCTGCTAGTTTTGCTATACAATGATGTGCTGGTAGGACTGCCTTTGCTTTCCTCACACTGATGGCATCCACTGATAAAAACCAAACCCCACCACCTGTGCTCTGGGCACTCCTGCTCCACCTTCACTACCTGCAGACCATGGAGGCCAGTAGGACTGAGGCTTAGGAAGGGGACACTTAGGGACCACTGCACTGCTAACAGCCCGTGTATGCAGCCATGCTTGCGTGCACATGGAGACAGGCTAAAGGCTTCCCGGTGAAGCTCATGTAGGTCCTCTGCACTGGCAGGAGCAGTCACACTGTAAGATAGGTCCTTGGGATAAGGACAGAGAGCTCAGCGAGGCCCTCCTGTTTGAACAGGACGGGAAAGCCTGTGCGCGCTGCCTGAAACACCATTTTTTTCCCTGTGGTGGACACTCCTCTTGTGCTCAGTCTCCATTTCAGCTGCCTGGGTGCTCACTTTGGCTTTCTGCTTGTCACTGATCGTGAAGCAAGGATTATGCTGGGGAGGTGGGGAGGCTCCTTCCTTCGATAAACTGTCTGGGCAAAGTGAATCTGCTTGTGGCAAGATACTCCAAGTAACAGAGACGGTAACACATCAGGGCCTGAAGCAGTGGGAGGGGTGGGAGGGGGAGGCAATCTGTGTCTTGGCACGTCCTTCTGCCAAACTGGCAACATCAGCCCAGTGTCAACACTAACTGTACAGCATCGTTCCCATTTTCTACTGGTTTGGGGCATTGCTGAGTTTCTTATCACCCATCTTTCCTTAACACAAAGCAAAAGTGCCCCTCCTCACCCTTCCAGGGGCCAAAACATCTCAGCCTCAGCTGCCTGCTTGGGGATCGCTTGCTTTTGGGGGCTCCCTGTGCCAGAGGAGCAATGCCCTGGCACAGCTGTCACGCTCCCCTACCCAGCTACAGCTGCAGCCATTACACATGCTGCTAAACACTTTCTTGAGGTCTTGCACACAGCTTCCAAAAAGCTTGTGACTCTGCCAAGAGCGTTTAAGCAACCTTAAGAATAGGGTGGATGATCTACTTAGGGATATGGTTTAATGGGGATTAGGGACGGTTGGACTCGATGATCTCTAAGGTCTTTTCCAACCTAGAAATCTATGAAATCTATGAAACCTTTAAAGCACTATTAATTGATGATAACACCAACACAATTTTACCAAAAAAAACCTGAGGGTTTTACCAAAAAAACCTAGGGACACACAGATACACCCCTCAGGCTCAGTTTTATTTGCAAAATGTGAGTTCTATAAGTTTCTGTAAAGGAACGCAGACGAATCTCAGTCTCTTCCTACGCCTGCTTCTGCCTGCAGTCACAGAGCTGTAAATCCCACTGACTTTAATAGTGTGGTACCTGGCCAAGCGAAGACCACGTCTGCCCAGGGAGGTCCTAGGACTAGTAGACACACCTAGGACTAGCAAAGCATCGTACAGCGGCAGGCTTGGCTGGGC